TATGAGAAAATGGAAAAATAGGAACAAAATCTTTGTAAATAGGGAGGACTGGAGGGGTTGAAGGGAGGGCTGGACAAGGGTGAAAAATAAGAACCAAGAGAGACTATGCAAATTTCCAATGATTTCCAGTCATTATATTGTATACCTAAAATGTACCAATGATTAGCATGAATAATCAATAATGCAAAATAGGAAGAAAAGGTCCAAAGGGGTAGGGGTGGTGGGAGGGGCAGAGGAAAGGAAACAAGGGAATGGAAAAATGATGAGAAATGGAAAAAATGGAAATAAAGTCTTTGTAAATAGGGAAGGGTGCAGGGGATGAAGGGAGGGCTAGGAATGGGGAAAAAATAAGAACCAATATTCATTATGTAAAGGTACAATTCCCAATGAGAAATATAATTGTGTTGTATACCGAAAATGTACCAATAAAAGAATTTAATAATAATAAAAAAAGAAAACAACACTGAGATTCTACCTCACTCCAGAAAGAATGGCTGCTATCCAGAAAGCAACCAATAACAAATTCTTGCAGGGGTGTGGTGTGAGTGTTGACTGGTGCAACCACTGTGGAAATCGGTATGGAGATCCCTCAGAAAACTAGGATTAGAAGCACCATTTGACCCAGCTATTCCCCTGCTGGGTATTTTCCCAAAAGAATTAAAAGAATCATACCACCACCTATGTTCATTGCAGCACAGTTTGTAATAGCTAAAACTTGGAATCACCCATCAACTTGAGACTGGATAAAGAAGATGTGGTTTTTTAAAAAATATAAATGGAATACTACTCAGCCATAAAGAATGGGAAACTACAGACATTTATAGCTAAATGGATGCACAATCAGGCCATACTCTTAAGTGAAATAAATAGGACACACGTGTAAATACTGAATAGTTTCTCTAGTGTGAGAAACTGAAAGCATAAATAAGCATCAAACTGTATAATTGATAATGTGAAATAGGGAAAAAAAGTCTAAAGGGAAAGGGGAAGTGAGAGGGGTAGGAGAAAGGAAAGAAGGGAAAGGAATAAATAGGAGAAAAGGAAAAAGTGGAAACAAAGTCTTTGTAAATAGGGATGGCTGCAGCAGGTGATGGGAGGGCATGGGGATAGGGAAAAGCATAAGAACCACAATATATTATGTAAAGGTAAAAATTGCCAATGATGAATGTCATCATATTGTACACCTAAAATGTATCAGTAAACTTAATAAAAAATTCATAAGCAAATATTGAAATATCTGTGCATGATATCAAAAGAAACTTGATGTTTTCACACTTTTTTATCATCTTACCAAGTCAGTTATGTATTTTATGGAAAACATAAAAATACACAGTGTTTCCAGAACTAACCTATCTGCTGCCTTCACAGGTAAAGCTCGTCCTCGTAAACCTCTCCAGCTAGTGGTTGGTACTCTGACACCAAGCTCAGTCTTCCTGTCCTGGGGTTTCCTCATCAATCCACACCATGACTGGACATTGCAGAGTCACTGTCCCAATGACAGGTAATTGGTCATAAAAATTCTGTCTTTCCTCTGAATACTAGTACTTCCTTTTAATGGTGCTTGTACATGCTTTATAAGAATATATACATATAAATATGAGTATTTACTTATTACCTATTAGATGTACAGTGGTTTTGTTCTAGGAGTGAAAAACATAAGTAACATGAGTCAGGGCTCTAGTCTTACCGGTTACAATCTGCCTGAGTAGAAACCACATAGATATATGCTTCATCCCAAGTAGAAAAATACAAGGGGGGAAGGAGCCAGTAGCAAATGGACAATATCAGTGGTAAAATAACATAGGTTAGAGGAGGAGGTGAAAGCACTTAGGAAAAACTATTAAGAGTTGAAAAATTCCTTGGAAAAGAAAAGATCTTTGATCTTTCAGTTGCAGAAGTGCTTAAAGCAGTCAGTAGGCCTTCAAACCAAGTAACATTACATTTGCCTTTACTTGGAAAGTTGTCACAAATGTAAATCTCATGTCCCCTCTACATTTGAGTGTATCAGAAACTCTGAGGCTAGAGCTCAGCCATCTGTGTTTTCACAAGCCTTCCAGATGATTCTCATGCCCACTGGATTTTAAGAATCACTAGCTTAGACAGCTGGAGAGAGACACAAAAAGGAGAATTAGGCAGAGGAAAAATGGAGTTAGAGATGAAGCTATCTTCTTTGGTAGAACAAATGAGGAGAGTCAAGTATATTTCAGAATTACTGCTGTTCATTCATCCTTCCACTCAACACATTTATTTAGCACTATGTACCTGACACTGTACTAAATATTGCTTATAAAATGGTAAAGTTATTTGCTAAGCATAAATATTTACTACATCAGCTAGCTTAAAAATTCAAAAACATACAAATGGAGAAGCATTCAAATTTTTGAAGCTTTAGACATTTTATTTTTAAAGTATTTTTAAAACTTGTCATTTGAGAGATGGAGATGAAAACAACACTGAGATTTCACCTCACCCCAGACAGAATGCCTGCTATAGAGAAATCAACCAATAACAAATGCTGGCAGGGTGATGGGGAGAAAGGAACCCTTCTCCACTGTCGGTGGGAGTGCAGACTGGTGCAACCACTGTGGAAATCAGTATGGAGATCCCTCAAAAGACTAGGATTAGAGGTATCATTGACCAAGCTATTCCTCTGCTGGGTGTCTTCCCAAAAGAATTAAAAGAATCATACCACAGCGATATATGTGGACCCATGTTTATAGAGGCACAGTTTGTAATAGCTAAAGCTTGGAAACAGCCCAAATGCCCAAAATGACTTTTAAATTCAAGAAGTTTTATTCCCCTTCTTAAAACAAAAAAATTGAGGTACAATTAAAACATAGTAAAATGCATAGACCTTATGTACACAATTTAATCTGTTGTGATAAATGTATTTGACAAGAAATAGAACATTTTTATCACTACAGAAAGTACATACTTTCCTTTAAAAGTAGCCACTGATTTGCTATTACTATTGGTTAATTCTGCCTACCCTAGGATTCCATTTAAATGAAATCATAGAGTATGGGTTTGCTTTGCCTGTTTTCTTTCATTCAGAATGTTTTTGAGATTTATTCATGACATTGTAGGTACTTCATTTCTGAGCAGAATTCCATATTTGAATATTCTGGTTTGTTTATTCATTTTCTGGTTGTAGACACCTAAACTTTGGTGGCTTTTGTTTTTTTATGAATATAGATTTTTCTAAGCATTTTTTGTATAAGATTTTTGTGAATATATGTTTTAATTTCTCTTACAGAAAGATCTAGAATTGGAATTGCTGCATTACAGGGAGGATGCATATTTAACTGTCTGTTTACTTTTTCTATCCCTGTTCCCCCCAAGCAATATATGAGGGCTTTTGATTGCTCCACACCCTCACCAACCTATTGGGATTCCCAGTATTTTTCATTTTAGCCATAGTAGTGCTGTAGTTTCTCAGTAGAGCTTTAACTTGCATTTCCCTTGAATTAAGGTAATTGACCACTTTTTCAGGTACTTTCTGTTTATGTGTATATTTTTTGTAGTGTTTTACTTATTTTTGTCTAAATGAAACCAAAAAGGGCTTTTAAAATGTTTACAACTTCTCAAACATACTTTTCATATGACTTTGATTAGGAAATCTAAACTAAAAAGGAAAAGAAATCAAGCTTCCCTTTATATGTTCATGCTTCTCAAGGGATAAGTATTTAGAAAAGGCCATGTAAAGGATGTTTCCAACACCCAATTTTTTAAAAATAATTTTGAGATGTTTTAAAGAATTTGAAAAATCCCTCATTTCACTCACCACTAAGCCTATGACTTATTTTGCTTGGATAATGGACTCTTGAAAGTACATTTTTTCTTGGAATAATTCTAGTTTCTAGTGGATTAGTCCAGGATGCCAATGTTGAGAAAATAAATATTTATAGGTTGCTTCTTTTTTAAAAATTCTCTTATTAAAAAGGGAAAGAAGCAAAAGAGAGAAGATGAGAGGAAAGAAGGGATGAAGGAAATTTCATAGTCATAGCAAAATGGAATTGGATTTTATTTGTTTCTCAATTTGCTTGATAAATCCTTGAGATTATTTGTTTCAATAGTTCTGTAACCTGGCAAATTCATACAACATTATTTGGATATAATTTCCTCCCCTGCCCTCAAGTATTTCTTGCAATTTTACTTGATCCTACTTACTTGTTCATAAAAGATTTATCTGATGATTAATTGTGATTGATAGGTTTTGTTACAGGAGATAATGAAAATAGAGAAAATGAGGATGGATAATAAAGGAGGCAGAATCTTTAGCACAGGCAGGCCACACATATGTTGAACCCTATCCCCCTGCATACCCACCCTGGTCCTGCCCATCTCATCAAATAGATGGAGTCAGACATGTCAAATCACAGTATTTGAAATTGAGAATTTCACTTTAAATAATGTTTTGAAAGATTCAATAATAATATGTCATGATGTTTTCATTTTTTCAGTCCAAAGTGAGTGGGGGAGAACTGTTAGGATATGACTTATTTGGAGGAATTAAACAGTCATGAGTAAAGGGAAGCATTTGGAGTTCTTGCTGATTCCATTATGTGTGACCTTTTGCTCAAGTTAGCACAATTAATAAAGAGCTGACATTTAAAGTCTTTTTCTTGCTAGAGAAAAATTAGTAGCCCTTATTTAAAAGCATTAAAATACTGTACACATTATAAACTACCTCCCCAAATCTACCAGAACTGTAAATAAGTGTAATTACAAGCAGACTGGGTAAAACATACCCTCCTATGTTCACAAAGACTTTTTAAAAATAGTTTTGACCTATCTAGTAGGCTACAATAAACAATCATAGCTAAAGGGGATGATAACTTCTTGAAAATTGGGAGATTAACACAGCTGAAATTTTCTTTCAGGAATATCCTATTACAAAACTATTGTAATCCAAATGCTTTTGGCTGCTACAAGGACATCAACTGGTGTCATTTTAAGATTTTAAGCCACTGAACTTCTAGTTTCTGCAATTCTCTCTAAAGCCTCTGATTTATAAAAACCATTTCATGTTGCTTTGCAGGGCTTTTATCCTATGCAAATGATGAATTGGAAAAAAATTTGCTTTAACTTTGACTTTGAACTTTCTATATTAAAGCTCTTAAATAAGTTCAGTTTTCAAGGACAAAAAAACTTTGTTTTTGTTTTACTTTAAGCTTGAAAATATTAATGGGATGTCACTTTACCTTTGAGGCATGTTTTTATTCCTATTTGTACTGTTTCTATACAGGTCTCCCAAAGATTTAGGCCCTTTTCTGAGTTCACATTGGAAAGCAGATACACTTCATTTACAGTTTTTGTTTTTAATAGGCTTTAAATGGAATAATGCACACATTAGTCCTCAATATATCTGGGGTCAAAATAAAGCTTTTAAACTGGCCCAAATGAAGAGTAAAATGCTTTTAACCAAAATGTACTTCGCCCTTCATAGCTTATTGTTTCCCTTCCCATGTTTCCAACTTCTTAAGCTTTCAGGATTGCTTTAGTTCTCATTCCTTTACAGCTTATTAAAGATTTATATTTGTTTAGAAATCATTCTCACATTTTTCTAACACTTTCACATGGTGTTTATTTGGTCTTAATGTAGAATGAGTGCTCTCTTTTTTTTGCCCAGTCCAGAGCAGTCTTGTATTATTCAGCTTTCCTGCTGCTGGAACAAAATACATGCCATCCACAATTTAAAGGATGAGGGATTTAATTTGACTCACCATTTTGGAAGATTCAGTCCATGGGTAGCTGGATCCACAGCAGAAAGGGAGTAATGGAAAATCATGATGGAGGAAATCTTCTCATCCTATGGGAACCAGAAAGTAGAGAAAGAAGAAAGGGGCCAGAGACAAGGATCCACCCTTTTGGGTCACACTCCTAATGGCCTGCCACCAACCAGGCCCCACCTCCTAATAGCATATTCCGCTGTGAGCTCATCAATGGATTAATCTACTGATGAGTATAGCACCCCCATGATTCCATCACCTTCTGAAAGTTGTACCTCTGAATACATGAGAGTTTTGAGGCTGATTTTAGATCTAAACCATAAGAAGACTCTTGTTTTTTATTTTTTTCCTTCAAAGTTTTAAAGTATTTTCAGTATTTTCATTTTATTGAGCTCAATTCTTTGTCACCTATTTGTCAGGCCAGAATCTGGCACCTAAGAAGTCCTCGGTAAGTACATGCTGAATCAATACCCAATGAAACATCAACATTTTCAATTTTATATGTCACCATTACCTAAAACTGAACATGTTAAAATTGCACTTACACATTTTCTCTTGAGATATCACCTCACTTGTCTTTTTATTACTTTGCAGAGTAATAAAATTACTTCCATTCATCCTAATTTAAAAATGTATTCATTTTTTCTACATTTCATCTTAGATTGTGAAGGACCTAGGTCATATTGATTTTTTTTAATTGAATTCTCTTTTTCTCTACTTTGTATTATTTTTATTTTATTTTATTTTTATTTTTTATTTTTTTGGTACC